AATAGAAATTATAGAAATTTTTTTTTTAATTTAACCACTGTATTTTTAAATTAGCCCAATTTATTGAGACATATTTTTTTTATTTGTTTTTTGTTTTAACAGTCATACACAGAATAAAAATTAATGAGTGCCATAGCCACCAACGGTGTAGTTCCAGGTAATTAAATTTTTTTATAATCCTTTGTATTATAACATTGTACATTGTACAAGAAATATCAGTATTGAAAATTTTAATTTAGGTTTTAAATTTTTGATCTAATTATGATTATTTTTATTTTTTTATTTTTTTTTAATTGGCAGCTGGTGGGGCCTATTTCATGATATCTCGGTCTCTGGGCCCTGAGTTTGGTGGTGCAGTTGGTCTCTGTTTTTATTTGGGCACAACCTTCGCTGCTGCGATGTACATACTGGGAGCAATTGAAATATTTCTGGTCAGTCTCCTTTTATAATGACAGCACACACACACACACACACACACACAATGATCCAAACCCCAAAATGATCCAGCTCTGAAAATAATCATTCATCAACTCTTATTGTCTACAGAAATACCTGATTCCTCAGGCTGCCATATTCCATCCCGCAGATATTCATGCAGGGAGTGGTGCGAGCTTCTATATTTCTCTAATATTTTGAATGCATAACACAGCAGCGGCGCATCTCGTGGGCTAGACTAACAAGTCACTTACATCATTATCACCGCATCTCGTGCGCCTCTGATGACGCTCCCTGACGCACTCCTAACATTCAAATGCAAATGTTAAAAAGGATATAGCTAATTATTATAAAACAAGCAGCTCTTACTCACTATCTGTGATTTCATTACCACATGCTTTTTATTCTCATTTTTCACAAAAGTTTTTGTTTTTCATGAGATTTATTACTTTATATTCAGGTCGCAAAAAGTGACTAAACAGACAAAATATGACAAAAATAGATTTTTAATGTTATAATAGTGATTTGATAATCTCTAAAAAATAATTTCAAAAGCAAAAAGTTAGAAAAAAAAAATGTGTTAGGGAGTGGAAATTGCTAACGAACCAATAACTGCTCCTCTGCAGCCATCTACTGGTTATAGTCATAATTTCATGTCTTTTTAAATTTCAAAATGAAAGTGATAGTTATTATTAAAGATCATTGAAAGTCATTATTGTGTTAAATTAGAAAAGCACTGAATAGACATTACAAAAAATAGATTTAAAAAATAAATATTTTAATTAAACATACAAAAATACAAATAAATACTGAAATATGAAATGAAAAGTGCCAGTAGGTGGCAACAAATCACTGTCTTAATAAGTGAATCATTTATTCATTCCATCGATTTGTTCAAACGGCTGATTCATTCAGAAACAAAGTGTCTGCATCTTTATGAAGGGCTCACAGAATCATAATCTCGCTCGTTTTGTTTAAAAACGTGGATTCATTCAGTAATGAAACACAGCTGTGTTTTGATCAGAGAGTTCTGCTAGGGCTTTATTTTCATTGGATGAAATGACACAAAAACAGACGATATTGACAATGTGTCTAAAATGTTGTATAAAATCAATATCACATTTGCAATCATGCAGATATTTGGGAGAAATCAGGTCTCTTGCGATATTGCTAAACTATAACATATGATACAAATACAAGACACACCCATCCATTTCATTTTTGCACTCATATCTCTAATTTTAGGGTCATGTAACTGCATTCTAATAGCAAGGCTTCATCAGTCGTTCTGCATCATGTTCTTGACGAACTGCATCAACGTAAGATTACAGAACCGCGCACTTGCATTTCAGTGTTGCTGTTAATGTTTTGGTTATTTTAGCAAATATCATAATCTTAAAAAAAAATAGCAAATACATCTTAATGCATGCATAGAAATGCATCTTAATATTAACAAGTAAATCTCCATACGAGTTGGCTACTTTCTATCCGACCCACCCTACATCTAGTTTTGACATCAATCAGGGGGGATCAAGCCTTCTTTAGGGGGGTCAGATAATAAAAGATTAAATTATCTCACTCCTCATTGAAAAAGATTTAAAACATTTAGATATTTATACAATGAATAGGCCTGTAATTAAAATTCTTAACAGTCTATAATATCCTATGTCCGAACACTGTAAATCAGTCATTAATGAAAATAAGAGCGGCTTTATTTCAGACAAGAAAATTCGAAAAACAACTTGTTTTACACAAAATATTAAATTCTGTTTTATTCCACTACGTATATTGGCCACAAGATACATTTTTAGAAAATAAATTAAGACAGTTACTCAATACCGTCATCAGCATATGTTGAAAGAGATTCGTCTCTCGTCTTCTCTGAGAGAATATGTGCAGTTAATGCAGCGTCAGATGCCGAAAGCTCAGTCGGTTTTTACTTTCACTTTCTGCAGCATAATGAATTAACTCGAGTTTAAAACTTCTTCACAGGCATAACGCTCATGCAGTTTGCACATAGTTCGTGTCATATCAACGCACTAACTCGCCTTCATGGTTCAAAACTGAAATATTTCTAATAGGGATGCACTGAAATGTATTTATTTATTTATTTATAAAGCGCTTTACAACTGCACATGCAGACCAAAGTGCTGTACTATCAACATAAAAATACATAAAAACTTAAACTAAGATAACCCAAAAATGGATCAATTAAAATACACACAATCTAGCCCAGACTAATGACAAAAGATAGTTCTTAACACCAGCTTTAAAACGGTTTACAGATGTGCACAAACCTACATTATTATGTGCATGCAGCGGCTCAGCTCTAATCAAGTGAAATCCCCTGATAGCCGCCGCTCACCGACTGACGGTGTAAATGGGATCAGTGCTTTGTTCAGTGTTTTTCGAGCAGCAGCGCAGAGTTTTGGGCAGCTTCTCCCATGACACATACAGAACCGGCTGGATGCTGCTGCTGATGTCCATGAAGCCAAAGGCAATGTAGTGGATATAACAGTGGAAGACATCCGGAGAGAAATACTCTCAAAAGGGAAAGAGAGCCACCGGCAGGAAGTAGTTAAACACAATGATGGCCAAGATGATGAGGACCATCTTGAAGGCCTTCTTGTTGACCGGGTGTCTCTCGTCTCGACCTGGAGCCGACTGTCTCAGAGCCCAGAGAATGGAGATGTTACAGAAGAGCATTAACACGAACGCCGCCAGGATCATGACGGTGAACACCTTGTCAAAGTTGGGGATGTTTCCCAGACACTTGGCTGCGGCGTAGACCAAAGTGAGGAAATGAAAATTCTGGGCCGAAACCGAACATTCTGAATGCACTGGGCCGAAAACCGAAACTAAAAATGCTTTGTAATAATTATTTATTATTTTATTAAATAATAAATAGTAATTTTGTAAAACTTTTTTTAATTTAACTCAATAATTTTAATGACACTGAATTAAAAAAATACAAGCCAATAAAATAACCACACATTTATTGAAAGTAACACAGAATATATGAGCGGAGCGTCACACAGCGCAGTGACAACGGTTAGAGGGAGAGTGAAACCTGCGCACTGAACACTAGGCAGTGTATATATTATATACACTAGGCATATATTTTCGGCCGTTTTTCTCTTTTGGCGGCCGAAAATTCGGTGCATCCTTAATTTCTAATTTTGCAAAGTGTTAGTCTTTATAATCAATTGCAAAATGATGAACAATGGTTCACATTTCCTGTGATAATAACATTATATTATATAAAGATCTCCCTCTTTTCGATTTCTTTCTTGCTGCATTAAAGATGAAATGGTTTAATTTATTTTATTATAATTTATTATTGTTTAGGGTAGTCGGTTCGTAGCTCTGCTTCAACTGTGCGATACCTTCACGAGTCAGAAATTCATCCGACCATCCGATTGCCTGTCAGGAGAGACTAATCGCTTCTCGTTTCCCCCTGTACACTTCACGAACACTGCAGGACAAACGATGCACGACAAAGCTGAATTTCGCCCCGACTCAAAAAAGAGTCGCACGAGTCAGAATTCGGCTCAAAATCGGACACAAATCACACAGTGTATGCCCGGCCTAATGGGGACATAAGCGATTTTCAACATTTAGGCCCGGCATACACTGTGCGATTTTCATCTGATTTTGAGACGAATTCTGACTCATGAGTATTTCAACTTAAGCCAAGTTCACAGTACACGACTTTAAATGTCAGCCAATCGCTGTGCTATTCAGACTACATGACTTGCTGTCTGTCTTGAAGTCGTTGTGGTGTTCACACTACGTGACACTAAATGATCAGCAACAGGGGGTCACACACTTCACGAGCTGACAACAACTCTCTCACCCATCGACTCTACACGGTCTCCAAACCGCGTTTTGTCACGAAAACTCATGCGTATTCATGTTCATGTATTCATGTATTTAATCATTAATTTATTTGTTTATTCACAAAGTTGTTTAATATTTACTAGTGTTATCACAGGAAATGTGAACCATTGTCCATTATTTTGCAATTGGTGATAAAGACAAACACATCGCAAACTCAGTTTTGAACCATGAAGGCGAGTTAGTGCGTTGATATGACACGAACTATGTGCAAACTGCATGAGCGTTATGCCTGTGAAGAAGTTTTAAACTCGAGTCAATTCATTATGCTGCAGAAAGTGAAAGTAAAAACCGACTGAGCTTTCGGCATCTGACGCTGCATTAACTGCACATATTCTCTCAGAGAAGACGAGAGACGAATCTCTTTCAACATATGCTGATGACGGTATTGAGTAACTGTCTTAATTTAATTTATCTAAAAATGTATCTTGTGGCCAATATACGTAGTGGAAAAAACAGAATTGAAGTAGCTTGTGTAAAAAAAAAGATGTTTTGGAATTTCCTTGTCTGAAATAAAGCTGCTGTTATTTTCATTGATGACTCATTTTCAATGAGGAGTAAGCTAATGTAGTCAGTGACTTTATTGCCATCCGAATCCAGAATGCCAGAGTTTTTCTCCCACCACCCACGTAAAAATTCCCGGCTGAATTACCTACTGTTTTTTGACAAACACCAAGTTCATGTGGTAATTTAATTTCCATCTGAATCCACATCTTCTTGTAAATTCAGAGAAATCAATTCAAAATTCAGTGTTGAAATCCTTTTTGACCACTGCTGAACACCGTACAGTAACTGTTGCAGACAGTTTGTTTGAAATGGTCATTATTGTGGCAGCAACAGGTATGCAATTTAATTTTAAAATATGTATTATATACATTTATTTACATAAAAATATATACCAAGCAGCTTTATGTTTACCTTATGTAAATAAGAGGTTGCATTTACTTATTTCTGCTAATATCCACATTTTTAATGACATCCATCATTTCGAGAGATAAAATAAAAGACAGAAAACCATTTCAACTATAACATGTCTATTTTCCTATTTCTAAACATGAGTTTTAAGTAATCAAGTAATAAATAGGATATTATTAAATATGAATTTATTCTTATTATTCCAAGCATATAACATTTTATTTACAGCCACTGTTGAGTTTTTCAATCAGAAAGTTTTTTTTTCTTCTTCTTCAATTAATTTGACTTATGTTTGATGGCTAAAATTTAAATAATTAAAACATAATTCAGAAAAGATTAAGCAGAAAACATGGAATTAAAAAAAATTAGATGTATTTCATTGGACACTAAACATATTTATATTTCTTTAAAAAAAAAAGTTTTTGATTGGAGTTCAGATTGAGCTCTGACTATGTGAGTCTAAAACACTGATGATCGTCTGCTGAAGCCGTTCCTTTGTTGTCTTGCAAATTTGGGCTTGGGGTCATTATCTTGCAGGAACATGAGATTCCTCTTCATCTTACATGCACAGAGATGATCAAACAATTTACAAAAAAGTAAATAATGATAAAAATAAATAAATAAATGTATTGAAATCATATGATGACATATCACATGCATCTGATTTTTTTTTTTAACTGCATCACGTCAATACAGTGAAACTCATTATTTTGAAGGGAGAGCAACTAAGGCTGTGTTTACACTTGGCATTAACATGCGATCACCGTGATCTGATCAAGCAGATTGGATGATCAGTCAATCAGGACACGGCACGTTTACACTTGGCAACATCAACTGGGGCATTTAATTATATAATAATCATTTTGTTGGAAACAAACTATTATTAGGATTTTTTTTCTCTTAAAAAATAAATAAATAAATAAATAAAACGTGCTGGAATAATATGATTACAGTGAAATTGGTGTGAACGTGATTGTTTTACTGATCGTGTTTGTTTGGTGAACACAGTGAAACTCATTGTGGAGAAGAGCAGCTATCACACATTTGACAAATATAATAATCTGCACGTCTGAGATTTGAGGGGTTTTCAGCAGCGCTTCAACAATGAAACATCAGCTCTGAATATAATCTTCATCAGATGTGAGGATCAGTTAGTTGATGTGTGTGAGTGACGTCACGTTACAGCAGCAGAAACACATCCAGCTCTGAACAGAGTCCTGCTTTTCTCCTGCTGCTGAAGTCAGATATGTTCAGTAAGACACAAGAGCATCAGTGAGCTCAGATACTGACGATGCTCATGAGGAGCACTCTTCAGATCTTCTTCACTGCAGTCAGTAAAGCAGCACTTTATGCATTCAGAAGAACAAACTGCTGCAGCTCCACATTCTCTTCAATCTCATTGTGTGTGCAGCGTTAAGATTGCTTTTCACTGCAATCACTGGAATAATAATCACAATATTACGTGTCATTTTGTTTCCATTGTTTCCATATGCAGGACTGAAGTCAGTTTGTGATTATGGAGAACAGAGAGAGCAGAGAGAGATCTTCATCTCCTGATCACAGCTGTGTGTCTCTGAAGAGTGACAGATCATTGCCTCTTCCTCCTACATTCAGTGATCAACCAGTGACCTCTGATCTCAGGTGAGATATAATGCAATATTAGGCCTATTTTACATTGAATCCGTAAGCAGCATGTATTTTATTTATTTATTTATTTTTTGGCACCCATGTTAACAGGTCAAGGCATTCATGCTGCTTAGCAAGATGGCGCATAGCAGAAGCAGCACTGCTGCAAATGCTTCGGCCAAAATAAACAAGAGTTGAGACAAAAATTAGCAGTTCCTCCATAAAAACATAAAACTGTAGTCTATAGGGCTGCAACTAATGATTATTTTAATAATCAATTATTTGGCCGATAATTTTTTCGATAAATCGATTAAACTGATAAAAAGCCTTTCTTTTTTTATTGACAAAATACACTATTCCACATGCTGCCCAATGCTGTCATGTCAAGTCAAGTCACCTTTAATCTGGTGGCTACGGTGACCTCGGAATAAGAAAGAAACAGACTATTATTAGTGTAGATGCCATTCTTCTTATGATGTAACAAGTACATTGTGTGTTATTGGAAGTGTTCCCAGTTCCGGCTGTTCTAATTAATGCACCCTATCAATCCTTTAACGGATTTAAATATTAGAAATGTGTTAGCGTGTTATGTGTAAGCCAGGTTAAAGAGATGGGTCTTTAATCTAGATTTAAACTGACAGCACACAGAGCAGTTGAGATAAATCAGGCAGGTTATTTGTGAATCTGTCTTTGGTGGCTGGAACAATAGTTCTGCATGGACGATAACGCGGAGCCATATAGTTAATATCAGTAATACGCAGCATGCACGATACAAGGTAGTGGTCAGTAACATCATCACTTTGAGGTACAATACTTATATCAGTAAGATCAATTCCATGCGATATAATTAAATCAAGCGTATGATTAAAACAATGAGCCTCATTCATGAAACACGAGCAGTACGAATTTTTGTGTAAATCGTTCGTAAAGCTGTTCTGACGTAAACTTTCGAATTCATGAAAATGTTTGTATTTTTACAATGTTAGTTGGTATGAAAGAAATGTACACCTGCTCCTTACCAGGTGTAAATGGTGCGTAAAACATTCTGTGTTCTTTTTGGCAAACTGATGACACTGAATTTTGATGCACTGCCACAATAATTACACATTCATTTGCCCTTGCCCTTGGCAAACTGATGACACTGCATTTTGATGCACTGCCATAATAATTACAAGTTCATTTGCCCTTGCCCTCTTGTTGAAATTTTTTTTTTTGAGTTGATAACTGTAAAACGCAGCGCTCGTCACTATTTACCCAGACGCAAATAGAGGACGGGTGGGACATAGCGACCAACCATCCTGCTTGTACAACGACTGCCTACAACAGTGTTTCTCAACCCTGGTCTTGAGCGCCCCCCAACACTGCACATTTTGTATGTGTCCCTTTTCTGACACACCCATTTCAGGTCCTGGAGTTTCTTTTAATGAGCTAATGGTTGAATCTGGTGTGTTTGATTAGGGAGACACACAAAATGTGCAGTGCTGG